ATCCACACATACATGCATTGTGTTAAGAACTTTTGTACATTTGTTTCCTTCATCATTCTCAAAACATTTGCTTTCTACTTGAGCCCCTGGTATCAGCTCATTTTACCCCTCTCCCCGTTCCCCCCCTCCCCTGTTCTTTAATGAATTCCTTCCCAAAGCCTAAGTAAAATCCAACTGATATATGCTGTGCCAATTGGATTCCAATTACATGACATTCTAGAAAAGATAAGACCATAAGGAACAGGGAGCCTCTGGGTTTGCCAGGAGTGGGAAGAGATTGACTACAAAGGGCACAGGGAATTTTTGAAATGTTGTATATCCTGAGTCATCTTGTAAACCTGCCCCTACCATGAATACTTACTATGAAAGATTTCCTTTGCTGCATTGCTCTTCAATTAACCACTTGGAGGTCTGTGCACTGATGGGCCTGCCAGTGTCCTGGAGAGTGTGCGTGTACTGTGTCTATTCTGCGCAAACATCCTGCACGGTAGCTATTACGATCCTCTTTTATGAGTAAGCAGAGGATGCACGAAGGTAACTAGCTTTTCCAAGGTCAAAGGGTCAGTGTGTGGGGAGAGCTGGGATTGAAACTCAGCTGCATGGTTCTTTTCTCCTTGCTGAACTTGACATTGTATTACATCACAGCACCTCTTTTAAAAAATGATTTCTACTGAAGTTCAGTTTATTAAGAAATCAGAAAAAAATGAAAAGAAACAATCTTTTTAATATCTCATAAGGTAAGCCATGTTCTTCTGAATATGTTTTTGATGTCATGATTTTAATACCATTCACTGAATAGTACTTCTTGGTTTATTAAAATGCTTTAATACTTAATATACTTAATGAAAATGAAGACTGCACTATTACTGAAAACATCGTGCCATGGATTTATGAAGATCAAATTCTCACTTTGATACATGGTTACTTGGTTGACAGGACTGATTTACTTTTTTTTAGAAATTAATTTTACATTCTTTTCAAATTTGTTTGCTAGCATAGTATTGTAACTAAATGCTACATAGGAAATACCTTTGATAATTCCTCTAGTCTCTGAATATATTTATTTTTCTCATATTACAAAATATACATATAAAGACAATAACTTTGATTAATATTGATGGGACAGAATTTTTCTCCTGATTTAATATGGTAATGGCACAAAGCTTATAAGAGCTGACAGTTTGTCAGAACAAATATGTTGACTATACCAAAGGAACTTTTTCCATCCCTGTAGTAACAACTGGCTGAAATCCAGAGCACTGCTGAGAACACGTATCTCAGTGAAGTGCTGCTGGTGATGCTACTATATGAGAGAAAGTGACTACTATTTGCTTTTCTTGTGGTAGAAATAGCGTTGCTTTAGAGAAGAGAACCTTCGTTACGTGAGTCATTATTGGCAGTGAGCTCTGCAGTGAGCTCTTGTGTGCGGTCAAGTCCATTCTGACGCCTGGAGACCCAGTAAGACAGAGTAGAACTGTCCCGTCCAATTGTCTCGGCCAAACCCTTTACCGGAGTGGACCAAGGGCTCAAGTAGAAAGCAAATGTTTTGAGAATGATGATAGCAACAAATGTACAAATGTGCCTGACACAATGGATGGATGTATGGATTGTGATAAGAATTGTACGAGCCCCCAATAAAATGATTTATAAAAGAAGAAAAAGAAAATTTACATAGTCAGAGATCGGGCTTTGTTTAAAATGGTCATAATCTTAATTTAGCCGTTAATGTTCACCCCATTAATCTGTGATGTAAATCACATGAAGGGGAGCTCAATTCAAACCCAGCCCCTTCTCCTGGTAGGTTGGCAGCAACTTGACGGCAGTGGGTTTGGTTGGCGTGACACGAATGCAGTAGCAATCCTACAATAATTTGGCTAGAGCTTCATTGGCCTTCCTGTCTTTTTCATACCCTTATGTAATTCTTAAACTTTAGTGAATAACCCTTTTCCAAAATGTACACTTAAAATTTTTTGACCCATTACTTTCTGCTCATTTACCTCAAATGGCTGGACTGGTGACTTAAATGTATGTACAGAATTTTTTAAAATGAAAAGTATTTGCTAGGTGCTTTTTGATCCAGAGTGGTGGAAACTAGGGAAAGGGCAGTCAGGGACCCTGCAGAGTCAGTTCTTGGAAAGCCTGGAATTGTGAGGCAACTACATTGGTTCTATGGTCACATGAAATTCAACCAGACAGCTCCGAGTCACTCTTGCGCACCAAGGAGAGATATCAGCTTGGTCGATGTGACAAAATAAGCTCAATAATCTAATAGTTTTCTAGGTCCACCTGAATTCCACTGGGAGGAAGGAGGATCGGTGTTGAGGGAGTTATCTATCCAACTGTACCTTACATACTGGAAAGCGAATTCTCATGTAAACATGGGTATGGGTGGGAGGGGGAGCACAGAAGAGAACTGGAAGCAGATGGCAGCACTGCAGTGATTCGACTTGATAACTGTGCATACGGCCAAGGCACCCATTGCTGAAGAGTCAGACCCTAAGTCACTGCCATGGCATCAGTCCCAACTCAGAGCGACCCTATAGTTAGAACTGCCCCTGGGGTTTCCAAGACTATCACTCTTTGCAGGAGTAGAAAGCCCCATCTTTCTCCTGTGGTGCAGTTGGTGGTTTTGAACTGCTGACCTTGCAGATGGCAGCCCAACTAGTAACCACCATGCCACCAGGCTCCTTTAGTCTGATTCATAAAGTCCCTGTCTGAATAGAACTGCCCCCATAGGATTTCCAACACTGTCATCTTTATGGAAGCACTCTGCCCCTTCCATCTCCTAGAGAGCCCCAGGTGCGGGACCACTGACCTTCTGCTTAGCAGCCAAGCACTTAACACCTGGACTTCGTCACCAGGGCTCCTACCCCAAGACAAGGAAATGCTCAATAACGAAACCAAGACATCAACTGCTGCATCAGTGCGTGGAACCCAGATTTAAATAGGCAATTCAGATAAGTGATTTCTTTGTCTTATTCTTATGACTTAATTGCCTGTGTGGGATGGAAGCAAGTCCAAAAATAATAGCTACAACCCCCGTGAGTAGTTTTAAGAATCAATTTACATGCATTGTAAATGAGCTTCTGCTGATCAATTCATCTGGTAATAATGAAATTTTAATTTCAATCAAGGGCAGGTTTTGAAAAAAATATTAAATCTTCCTAATGAAAATGGCATTTTTGCTGATGCTGATTTATTTACATATTTGAATAAAGCAGCAGGCATTTTAATTTAAATAAGAACTATTCCAAAGTAATATGGAAAGTTAAAGTCCCTCTCTAGCTTATCTATTTAGCTTTATTAGTAATACTTTTTAAAATGCAAGCTCAAAGGTTTGACTGTATATGGGCTAACATGTTTACAGCAAAATCCATATAGCAAAGCAGCTTAATATTTTGTGAGATGAACAGTATTTAGGTATCTTTTTAGCGTCATCTGATTTGGATGTCTGCTTCTGACCAAGGAAGCATGGAGACTAGACATGTACCCTTCTGCCTGAAAGACCCAGGGAAGGCCAGACAGCAATGGAATGGGCTTGCAAGACAAAGGCTATAGCACCTGGGGAAGGGCTAAGATCATCAGATGGTGGTGAGCCCTGGTTGCCCCATTTCTGCCTGACATTTCCATATTGAGGCACAACGGGGGCCTGGGCAGACTCCCGAGGGGCTTAAAGTGCACAGACACCAACACAGCGTGGGCTCACTAGAGCGGAGATCTGGTCTCCCTCAGAGCACACATCCGCACACAGACCTACGGAAAGGGCCCAAGGACAGAAAGAGAACCATCTGAAATGATAAGAAACCAGAGGCTTCAGTGTGGCAAAATCCCACTCGCTCTTAAATTTATTTTTCCATGAACTTTTTAAATCTCTTTTGTATTTACTTCTTTTCACTTGCCATCTCCTAAATTTAAAACATGGTTCTTTGGAGCAGTATTATAAAGGACAGAAAAGATCCTTTCATGTATTAATTAAAATCAAGTGAATTTGGGATGGGGGTTATCCCATCTACACTCATTTATTTTCAGACTTTAGTCTATTTCAATGGCATGTGAATTGCTTTAGAGTAGGTCCAAGTAAAGTGCATAATGCAACTTATAAACCCATTACCTGTTACCAATTCTAAACACGACATATTCTGGTATGTAACAAAGGGTCCTGGTAGTTTTTCTGGTTATTTTGGGACTTAGTTGCCCAGTCTACAAAGTGCCTTTGGGGGCTTCTTAGTGCTCATAGATCAGGTGCTTCCAGGCCCTCTACTGGCCAGTGCTCAGTACTGCACACTCACAAAATGGTATGTTTCTAACTCTAGCTAATTCCATGCCAACACCTTCCTTCCCTGACCAACCAACGATCAGTCACCACCTCAGGATGTTGTTGGGTGCAGTCAAATCAGTTCCGGGCTATATCAATCCTATGTCAACCAGAACACATGTATCAATCCTATGTAAACCAGAACACATGAAACCCTACAGGCCCTACATGTCCTCACCGTCATTCCTTCAGCCTGGGCCAACCCACCTCCTAGAGGGGGCTTGCCTTTTTTTTCACTGCCCCAACCTTACCAAGCATGTCTTCCTCCAGGGACGGGTGTCTCTTCATATACAAGTCCTGCCAGCCTCACCACTAAATATAGGGTAATGATTCTCAAATACACAATTGTTTTTCCTTCCTAGGTTTGCAAGTTGTGATCACATAGGACCAGGGGTGGTTTTCCTCCCTCCCTGCCATCCGACCTATTGGACAGGGTCCAACTGGTCCCGTGAGTTATGAATGAACAGTACCCACCCAAGCTGAGACTTCAAGCTAAACATCACAAAATGTGTATAAATGGAAAACCAAGGTGCCCTGTACACGTCAAGCAAAGGACAAGTTTTAAAATACAAAAAACACATGACCTCCTTGTTCCCCAGCACACATACTTTGGTATTTAGACAATATGTAATAAATACTCAGGCCTAAATTCAAGCCTGCTAAATCTAAGTAAAAATGCACCAAAGACATTTACAGTAATAGCTTTATTTTTTGTTAAACCCATCAGGTAAAGAGATTTCCAGAAAAGAAGCATCTTTTCAGAGGTGAAGCCATCAGACTTCTAGGGCGGCAGCTGGCTGTTGGCTCGATTTGATGACATTTCACTTGGACCTCTGCCTCATCTTCCTCCGTTTTCGTTTTAGCCTAAAATAGCAGAAGACTTATTACAGAACAAAAGTTTGCGTTTTGGCACAAATTGGGATGAGAACACTGTTCCTGATGTTACCAACACAACTCGGCATGCACTTCTATGCTATGCTTTCCTCAAGTCTTACACCTTTTTAGCTGATGCTTTATTTTCTATTCTTTCTTCCAGTTGGAGTCTTCCCATTGTTTCACTCGACATTCCGCCTCCTTGTGTACATTACCCAGCCAGGTCTTCCGGTCTATTACTCCCATGATCCAACTCGTGGATTTAATTGCGAAAACAACATGTCCACAGATACCACACTTTGGTAAGATTTTAAATGATGGGTAATAAACAAAACACCTCACTGCCATCAAGTTGATTCCAACTCATAGAGATCTCATAGGCAAGAAACCTGCCCCGTGGGTCTCTGCAACAAGCTACGTATGGGAGTAAAGAGCCTTTCTCTCCTGCAGTGATCAGCTCAATGCATGACCACTGCGCTACTAGTGGTCCGGAAAGATTTTAAATGATAACCTCTTACATCAACCAAAGGACAATCAATAGTGCATAACGGGAAAAAACCCTTACTGCAGCGCCTGTCACAAAGTGAACGATAAATGTTGTCTACTGAGGGATTCCAGTGCTAAGTTAGGAGAACAGACTCAAGAATGAGAATATCTGGGTTTGAATCCCCGCTGTGACCTTAACAAACGCAGTCCCCATTTCTACAGCTTCAATAACTTCTTAACTGCTGAATGGTCTCCCAGTTTCTAGCTGTTCACAAAATGCAAATGACATGCCAAAGATGCTTCTGTTCAAAACCATCTAGTTGTAACCGAGAGGATTTACTATAACCCAAATGAAGGCTGAGCATGATAGTGGGACAAGAGGAAAGTAAAAGGAAATAGAGGAAAGAGCTAGGAGGCAAAGGGCATTTGAAGAGGTCTAAATGAAGGCATGTATATATGTAAATATATTTATATATGAAGATGTAGAAATAGATCTATGTGCATATATTTTTAGATTTAGTATTAAGGTAGCAGATGGACAGTGGGCCTCCACTCAAGTATTCCTTCAATGCAAGAACACTTTGTTCTATTAAACTGACATTCCATGATGTTCACCTTCCCGACACGATCGCTGAAGACAAAGCGGGAGCATAAGCAAATGTGGCGAAGAAAGCTGATGGTGCCTGGCTATTAAAAGATATAGTGTCTGGGGTCTTAAAGGCTTGAAAGTAAACAAGCGGCCATCTAGCACAGAAGCAACAAAGCCCAAATGGAAGCAGCATACCAGCCTGTGCAATCACGAGGTATCGAAGGGATCAAGCAGGTATCAGGCATCATCAGAACAAAAAACCATATCATTGTGAATGAGAGGGAATGCAGGGTGGAGACCCAAAGCCCAGCTGTAGGCAACTGTACATCCCCTTACGGAAGGGTCACGGGGAGATGAGCCAGTCAGGGGGCAGTATAGCAATGATGAAACACACAACTTTCCTCTAGTTCAGGGGTCCTCAAACTTTTTAAACAGGGGGCCAGTTCACTGTCCCTCAGACAGTTGGAGGGCCGGACTATAGATTAAAAAAAAAAAAAACCTGAACAAATTCCTATGCACACTGCACATCTTATTTTGAAGTAAAAAAACAAAACAGGTACAAATACAATATTTAAAATGAAGAACAAGTAAAGTTAAATCAACAAATTTACCAGTATTTCAATGGGAACTATGGGCCTACTTTTTGCTGAGATGGTCAATGTCCGGTTCCATATTTGTCACTGCTAGTCATAACAAGTGATGCAAGTGTGCATCAGTTAGTCTAGATCTGGTTGGAGATTTCAGATGTTTCATTCTGGAAAAAGTCTGTTCACAGACATGTGCTGCCAAAGATGCTTGCCATTTTGAGTGCATGGTTCCTGAGATTAGGGTATGTCTCAGAGGGGAGGGATGCGTAGAAATTAGGAAGGCTGCTTGGCTTGAATGCGTCTTTCAGTAACAATTCTGCAGTTCAGCCAGTTCCATTTGGTTAAAAGGTATCCACATTGTCAATGTCAATAGAAAATGGGTTGCGGAAAAGCTGTATGCCCTGTTCATGGAGATGAAGCTCTTTAAATCTAAATTGGAAACTCCTTTTGCAACTTTTCCAGTGAATCCATACATATTTTGTTTGGGAGTGCAACCAATGGTTTTGAGTTGTGAGGAGATGGGAGAAATTTTCCTCCTTCACTGTTTGATGAGGAGGCCTAATTTTACTTCAAATGCTTTCACATGTGATTGCATATCACAGATGAGCTTCCCCTTTCCTTGAAGTTGCACATTGCAACTGTTGAGTAGCTCTGTGACATCTGTCAGAAAGGCAAGGTGCCATTTCCATTCTGCATCATTGAACTCTGGTACTTCTTTGTTTTTTAAAGCAGAAAAGCTGTAATCTGTGGAAGTAAGTCACAGAAATGTCTCAAAACTCTCCCTCGACTCAGTCAAAGGACTTCTGTGTGGTATAGAACATCTTCATAGGCAACATTTAGCTCAGACAGAAATTCCTGAAATTGTCTGTGGTTTAGTGCATTAGCTCTAATGAAGTTAACACAAGATACCACACTTTTCATAACAGAGTCCCACTTCTGTGATTTACTACACAGCGCTTGTTGGTGGATGAGGCAGTATATGGCTACTGAATGAGAATGGTTATGTTTGTCCATCTTTTGGTTAATGCGAGCAATTACTCCTTTCTTAGACCCCACCATGCTAGGAGCACCATCAGTTGTCACACTGGCTAGTTTAGTCCAGTCCAGCGCCAAACCATTCAGTTCGGCAAACCTTTTCATAGATATCCGCTCCTGTAGTTGTTCCTTTGATGCTTTGCAGTGCAGCAAGCTCTTCTGTGACTTCGAAATTGTCATTCGTCCCATGAATAAAATTAGAAGTTGTGCAGAATCGCTAACATCATTACTTTTGTTGCGTGCCAAGGAAAAATAGGAGGTTTTTTTGCAGAGTTTTGCAAATGCTGATGCAAATTGTCTCCCATTTCTTCAATCATTCGTGTAATTGTAGGTCCTGAAAGACTCACTGTACGAAATAAATCAGCCTTCTCTGGACACATCTCTTTGGCAACAGAAAGAGGCATTCTTTAACAAATTCTCCCTCCACGAAGTCTGCCAGTGCACGCTATTAGCTTAGCAACTTTAAAATTTGCTCGCAGTGATGAATATTTAGCTGCTCCTGCTTCACAAAAGTATTTTGCTGAGTTGTCAATGCATTTTTCAGTTTTAATATTTTATCTTTTCTCACTTCTCCAACCAAACAATCATATTTATCTTTATGTTGAGCTTGACAGTGTCGAAGAAAATTGTATTCTGTGAACACAGCCACTATATTCTGGCATATCAAACACACAGCTCTTTCCTTGTACTGCGTGAAAAAGCAATCCTAAGTCCACTGTTCTTTGAATATCCTACACTCCGAGTCAATTTTTCTCTTTCTTGGTATCATTGCTTCCTAGGGATCCCAAATTGCTATTAGTAAAAAATATATATATATATATATATATATATATATTATTTATATTTTACATATATATATTTATGTAAAATACATAATACAAAAACAATATACCAGCACTAACTTTGCCCACACAGAGACATAGACTGCACTGCCCACTAATGCAGTCTGATCAGTGTCCTTCAATGCAGCCTTGCCAGTCCACATCATTTCAGGCTCACCAGTGCCTCTATTGGTGGAACTCTGCTTTTACCTCAGGCTCACACTGGTGCGGTGCGGGAACCGGCACGATTACAGAGTCGGTTCCTCCACCACCTTTCCAGTTCACACTACCCTGTGTGAACCGCACTGCGATCTGTGAACTCGCACAGGAATCTGATTGCATGGGTGAGAAGACCCATGCGATCAGATTCCACTGCAGGAAAAAAGAAGGCACATGTTCCTTTTTTCTTCCAAATCTAATGCGAGCTGAGCCATAGAAGCATATGGCTGAACTCTCACTGCGCAACAGATCGCAACAGTGTGAACCGGGGCTTACGCAGCACACAACATACAACATCACACCCAACTGAATAGCAATCAGAATATAAATGCACTTACTGTCAATTAAATTGGGTTTCCTACTCCCCGGCTGTCTGCAGAGCCAGATTAAGTTCCCATGGGGCCCTAGGGAGACTACCAGTTTGGGACCCCCATGCGATAACACTGAGCACTGACCATTTGCGGTTAACACTGACCGCTGACAATTTGCATTAATACTGAGCGCTGACCATTTGTATTAACACTGAGCACTTACAATTACCATTACCACTAAGCACTATTTGCATTACCTCTGAGCACTGACAATTTTCATTAGCACTGAGCGCTATTTGCGTTATCACTGTGATGCAACCCCTACTAGGAACCACCCCCAACCAAACCAACTTAATTTAAAAAAAAAAAGACCTCCTAACTTCAGGGAAAAAAGGTCCTATTAACTGGAGTACCCCTGTCCTAGAGGGTCGGTGTGAGTTACAAAAGACTAGATGGCGGTGTATTTGGTTTTTCTGTGAAATCTTAAGATCACCTGGGACAAATTAACTTCTCAAGTCTTCTAAAAGCCTTTTTTTTGCCTGCTTCATAGAAAAATGTATGTTACTACCCTGTTTCCCCAAAAATTAGACAGTATCTTATATTAATTTTTGCTCCCAAAGATGCGCTAAGCCTTATTTTCAGGGATATTTCATTTTTCCATGAAGAAGAATACGGTACACATTTATTGTTGAACAAAAAAGGAAATTTATTACCTGTATACGGTACAGTAATAGTCGTGGATCTTCTTAAAGACAGTTCACTTCGCTGAAGGAAATGATCCAGCCAGTGTTGTGATGCTTTGAAGTCTTCCGGGGCGATGTCAAACTGTGGTGCCATTGCAAGGGCAAATTCTTGAATCTGTGCCCTATTCACAACCAAAGCCTTTGCTCTCCTGTCACAGATCAGGTTTTCCAGCTCGGAAAATAATGGTTGCCGACCTGATCCACACTTGCGCTTTTTAGCATTTCCCTTGTCCACTTGTTCAATGAGGTTACCATACTCTGCTCACCGTTTTCTGACCAATCGGATACTCGACATCTCTTTGCGGAAAGCAGTAAGATTTTTGGCCCCAAGAGTCTTCCACGATTCCTTTCTTGTACTTTTTCTTTTTGTGCTCATGTCTAGGGGTAAAAAAAAAAAAGACACTGGGTTATCAGGGTCGGGGGATCACTTAAATTGACACAGGAGGATCAGAGGGGGGGAT